GGCGGCGGCGGCCGCGTCGCCTCCGGCCGGGCTCGCGCTCGCCCACGCGCTCGCCCTCCTCCCCGCCCGAGCTGTGCGAGGGGGAAACGCTTTCTCCCGGCATGCAGCGGGAGGAGGGATTTAACACTAAGATGGCGGACGGCCCGGATGAGTACGAGCCCGAAGCGGGCTGCGTGCCCCTGCTCCACCCCGAGGTGAGGAAGGGTGCGGGTCGCGGTCTTCGCCTGGGAGCACCCGGCCTTTCTGCCCCAGGCTCGCCGGGGGCGGTAGCCGACGTGGGTGGCGGGGCGGGACGCGCCGAAGTTGGGGAGGCCGGCGAAGCGAGTCCAGGCCCGAGCGCGGATAACGGGGAGGAGATAGCGGGGCGGGCCCGGCCGGGGCGGGCTCTGGACGCCGCCCCGCTGGTGCCTGGAGGCCGGGGGTGCGGGCGTTCGGGGCCGCCGCGTCGCCGCGCTGCTCGCGGGTCAGAGCGCGGGGGCCCTGCGCGGCTCCTGCCCCGGTCTCGCCCCGCGCCCGGGAGCGCGAGGGGGCGGGAGGGAGCGCGCCGGGGTTTGGGTCTTTTCCTCGCCGCGGCGAACGGCACTGTGCCTTGCTTTCGGTTCACGGTGGTGGGACAGTTACTCGGGCAAAGCGGTGTGCTTCCAGGTTGTGCCACGGGCAGCGTCTCGGCATGCCTTGCGTCTGTTGCCCACGTTTGAGCGTTCGTCCTTAAGCGATTGAAAAGACAGGTCAGAACTTTCGGGAGCAGACGCAAGCTCACATTAGCGCTAACTGCCGCTTTTTTAGGAGCCAGGGGGGGACAGTGCAACACGTTTCTCATTACAGTCCGAGTGTCTCACCGTGTAAGTAAACAGTTCTCCGCCCCAGGATCGCAGTCGCATTCTGTACTTGTTTACCTCTTGGTTTGTGGCTGAGCTAGAGTGCTATGCTAATTAAGGCCTGGGAGCATTGTTTATACCCTTTTTTAAAAAATGATTTAAAGTGGTATGTGGGGAGGAGTGGCACAGCTTCCTGAAGAAATCCAGGAATGAAAACAAATCAGTGTCTTCATTATAGGGTGCACAAACATGGAAGTCTCCTACCTGGCTGCTCTGCATTAGAATTATTCTATTTCTGGATTGTGTAGTGTCCTCCTACTTTTGAGTAAAATGTGAATACCAGCAGTCATCCTTTATATGTTGATACTCAGTCAGCCTCTCGTCCATCACTGTATCAAAACCAGATGGGATAGTTACTTAGGAATATGTACCTGGGCTCAGAGAGCACAGCTTTAGATTTCGGACAGAAGTGTGCAGTAACACTAAACAATTTTTTGATCGAAGTGGTAACATTTTTCAAAACTGGTATTGGAGCGACATCTCTTTAGGTTTACAATTAGGTTCTAGTTACATGTCATAGACAAAATAGTTTTCAGATGATGCCTTGAAAATATGTCTAAGGAATTTTTGTATTCATTTGTTCCTGTGGATGTTTTCAAGAAGTTAAACGTTGTTGTACGTATTTCAATATACTGTTTTTCTTAAATCTTTGCTTTGTAAAACGTTTGCTTTTGCTACTTTATCAGTAATTTCAACTGATAATAAATTCAGCGATTGCTTGGTCAGTAGAATGGCCAGTAGACTTGAAGTTTAGAGATCAGTATTCAGATTAGCAGGTAATGGATAGACCATCAGTAGAAAATAAACTTCCTCATCATTAGAAGTGATAATTGGTAAAAAATGATATATTATTCTTTTTTACCCAGCAAGCACAGGTCTGTTTGAAGGTTTTAGAGCTTAAGCTCATAATTACACGGACTGAAGTCTTTCTGTATTTTTTCTGTGGTTAGTGCCTTGCACCTGTTACATTGGTATTCTGCTTCCTAGCAGTATGTTTTTGTTCATGCTACTTATGAATTCTAGCTTCACTATTTATATTAATCGTATGATGATAATGTTTAATTAATGGGCCATTGAGAGGATTACAGTAAATGAGATTTTTTGGTTGTTAAAATAGTGTTTTCAGCCCCCTTTGGAAAGAGACCCATTGTCTGTCTTGGTGAGCAGTAGTAGTACTACTTTTAGCTCCTTTTGGAGAGAACACAGGCCTCGGGTCCAACAGGCATGGGTTTTAATTCTGAGTCTTTAGTAACTAGCTACATGACCTGAAATAAGAACTTAATTTCTTTAAGCTTCCGTTTGTTCATCGGAAGATGGAGATGTTGCCTAACTTGTTTGGCTATAAGAGATGAGATGAAACCAAACTATATTATGGAGGTTGAAGAACTGGCGCATTGTAGATACTCAGATAATAATTAACATTATTTCCTTTTCCTCTACCAGAAAATGGATTTGGTTAGTGATTAGAAACTTACGTGGATTTTAATTTAGTAGAATAGGATTGTGCAGGAAGATTTTTACTTTTTATCTTAAGATTTAACAGTGTCACACACAGCTCCTCACTGAATATTTGTTGAACAGATCAGTTATTTGTAGGATAAAGAAATTAGCTATTCCTTAAATCTCTTGTTAGGATGCAAACTACCTTTCTTAGAGGATTATGCAATTAGATGAAAAATGAAAATTTTTAGTTGTAATGTACTGTGTAAGTTACGATTTTTCAAGATAATCAACTTGAACATGTAACTATGGAATACATAGCATTGTGTTGTATTGTTTGGGTTAAAATAAAAAGGGTAGTGTATATTTTTCAGAAGGTAATGATCTAGTTGGTAACACACATGCACATAAACACTTGGCAGAACCCGAGTAAGTGGCAGAATCTGAATAAGTGCCAGAGTAGGGTAGCTTGTAAGCAATGTCAGATTCCTGCTGGTTAGGGTGCTGAGAAGAAAGACTTTAGTAGTGGGACAGAGACCGTATGGTAGTCTACAGCCCCCCAGACTTGCATCACCAGTCTTCTTTTTCACCTCCTAGTACGTCCTCAGTAAATCCTCTCAGCTCTTTGATTGAATGAGATCACAATATCCCCTTCTGCCAGAGTATTGTAGGAGATCTGTATTTCAGAAAGGTCTGACTCATAGCTTTGAACTGGATTGCCTAGATTATCTAGGGCTTTTATCTATTACTTACTTTCTTTTTTTCCTCTCAATTTCAAAACTTCTAATGCTTTTTTCTTTCTCCCTCTTTTAAATGGTAATACTTTTCATGTGACATTCATCTCACATATATTAATATTGGTATTATTATTGAATATTGAAACTGAAGTATTATTTCGTCTGTTCTTTGCACAGATCTCACAAAGTACTTTCCAAGGCTTCTAAAGCTTTAGTAATAGTGATTTTTGCCCCCCTCCCCCTTTCTGAGACACGGTCTCCTGTGTAGTTCAGGCTGCCCTGGAACTCACATGTACCCCGTGCTGTGGCAGTCTTCTGCCTTTAGCCTCTTCAGTGCTGCCATTAGAGGTGTGTACCACCACGCCCACCAGTTTTAGCTTTTTCTGCTACTAGTTTTTGCTCATTTGCTTTCAGAAAGCAAACAGAAAAATTGCTTAGAAAGTTTTTTCTTCTAATGGTATATTGGCAACTCTTTTCCTTCAGGGCACATCTCTTTTGTTTTTGTTTTTTTTTTTTTTGGTTTTGGTTTTTCTCCGGTACCGGGAACTGAACTCTTGACCTTGCGCTTGCCAGGCAGGCGCTTTGCCACTGAGCTAAATCCCCAGCCCCCAGAGCACATCTCTTTTGCAGTATTTACCTGATGCTTCCTTTTGAAAAAAAATTCAAAAATGCTATAGGTCATACGTTTAGATTTTAAAACATTATCTCTTAATCATAGTAATCGTTCAGTCATTATACATAAAATTAAATGGTATTAATTGGTGACTTTATGGGTTGTGACAAATGCAAAGTTGAAAATTATTGACATATAGAAGCAAAAAATTTTACTTGGTTTGATAAATGCCATTTTTCTCTGCCCCCATCTTAATTTTTTTTTTTTTCCTGTCTTTTTGAGACAGGGTGTCGCTATGCAGCTCAGGCTGGCCTTGAGCTCACTTTGTAGCCTAGGCTGGCCTTGAGCTCATAACGATCCTCCTGCCTCAGCCTCCTGGGTGCTGGGATTACAGGCGTGTGCCACCACGCCCGGCTCCCCATCTTAATTTAATTTGTGAGAATTACCCTAGACTGTGGAGTACGTAAATGTAGTAACATAGGGGTTAGTTAGGCACAGTGGTGCACATCTATAATCCCAACACTCTGAGAGACTGAGGTGGGATTGCAAATTTGAGCTCAGCCTGCTCAGTATTTTTTTTTTTTTCCTTCTCAGGAATTGAACTCAGGACCTTGGGCTTGCCAGGCAGGCACTTGTTCTGCTGAGCTATATCCTCGGCCCAGCCTGGGCAGTTTTGTGATGTAGCAAGACCCTGTCTGAAAAACGAAGGCAAAAATAAGTAAATAAATAAATAAAAAAGCTATAGATTTAGCTCATTGATAAGGCTTTGGGTTCAATCCCAGTACTTCAAAAAACCAAACGCAACAAATAATTAGGTTAAAAGTATGAGCCTGGACAGTTACTGAATTTTATGTACCAGTTTCTCAAACCAGAATGGGCACATAAAAGTATCTACTTTACAAAGAAATTGTAAAGATTAAATAAGGTAAAACACACTATGCATCCAGCTGTTGTTAGATACAATAAATGTTAGCTATTAATGTTGTGATAGCAAGTTAGTAAAGTCTCAATTTGATAAATAATAGTAAACATACTGTATATATGGGAGATAACTAGCTGAGTGACTATTGTTAATATTGGTTGTCTCTGGAGATTGAGGAGAGAGGATGGAGAGAAAACATTTTATTATGAGCCTTTCTCGTACAATTTGATCTTAATGAGGTATGCTTTGATTTGGGGAGTGTTTGTTGAGGCTGTAAGTGTGGTCTTTGACTATGTAAGCCCACAAAATAATGAGGCTTACAACATACGACATTGTAAGATAACAGAAAACTGTACACTTTCAGATACTTCAGGATACATGAAGGTGAGTATATGTGTTTGTGTGTATTTTTATTTTAGTTACAAATGAGTTGTCTTTTCCTATCCTAAAAGTAAGGGGTGTGATCTAAAAAGTAGGGTGAATGTTTAAATTAAAAAAAAAATTACAGTAAAAGACACATTGCTATTAATGTGCCACAAAATACTGTCTCACTTCCAACACACATACATTATCCCATCATTCTTTCTACTTTCTGAAGTACTTC